TGCAGTTTCCAAAAAGATACTCATTGGCAATTTACCTGAACCATCTTTTGCTTCTGTTGCTGTTTTGAAATACGTACAGTAGCAGTAATTTGTATTTTGTATGGCAGTCAAATTACTACTTTGTTTACATTTTACTACATATTTGACAAATAATTTCACATTCAGCCTTACTTTCTTTTTGGTAAAAGCATCAAACATAATCTAAAACCATTATTTAAATGTTCTTATACTCTTACTTTCCCTTTGTAAAGTAGGAACAATGTATTTATTTCTGAGGCATAATTTGCCTTTAAAAATTCATGCAAAGCATTCTGAGCCTTTGACAGTGACCTCCAAATACCATTCCAAAATAATAATGTATTCATGTAGAGAATAATGATGCATGTTTCTAAGATCAAAAATGGTCATTATTCAGTCAAAATCCATGCCTTGGACTATGGACCTTGGACATTGACCTCCAATTATGATGAAAAAGCCATGTCTCAATCTTCAAGTGCAAACCCTAAGTGGCTTTGAAGATTAATGTTACATGTAAAACTTGAACAAGGATTTTTCTTTGTTCACAGAGTTATAAATATAATTCTGATAAACAACATGCAAGAGTTATTGACATTAGAAGTTGACCTCCTATTATAATGAAAAGATGTGTAAAGTGGTTGAAGAGACACGATGTTGGTAAAGGAAATGCACATTAAACTTTAACTTCCCGCCAGATGCCTAGGACAGCTCATGTTGATCTATATAATTATGTCTGATGCAAATAACCAGATCACTGTCTTAATTCTGGGGCAAAAAAAATATCTTTAGTCCCAGATTCAATCAAAGAACGGAATGCGCGGATTTTGTTTGGATCTCAAATTTTGTAATTTTGCCTGACAGTTATTTGAGCATCCGCGCAGTCTGATCAGGATCCATGCAGTTCGCTATCAGTTTCTCTACTTGTAATAGAGTTGGTAAGTGAACAGCATGGATCCTGATCAGACTGCGCGGATGCGCAGGCTGGTCTGGATCCATGCTGGTCGCAAACCCATTATGTTGGTTTTCTCGTGACGCAGATCATTTTTCTTGAGCCATTATCCCTGTTTTCAATAATTTTTATTTTAAGCAAAAAGCATAATAACAAAGACTCTGAGTAAGTTACATATAAACCTGAACAAATATAGGTAAGCTGCAAGTGATTAACCAAATTATTATGATTAAACTTATACACATTTTATTTTATGATATGTTATCTTCTACGACAGGGGATGAGATAAACATACTTCAATTAAGGTATGACCCACCTAATGCATTACCTCCACTTTGAAGAGTATTCAAATAGGCTAGAACTACTGTCAACTGCATTGAAATTGAGGGGGCATGGGTTCAAGTCCTAGAAGAGGCAACTTTTCTTTTTTTTTCTTTTTTTAACATTATTTATGTGTTTCTGGGATCACTCTTGGTAAGAAAGAAAGTATTTCTTTTTAATTGAAAAATTATATTCAGTATTTGTTTGTCTTAATTATGAAAAATTTATTATCAAATATGGTACCTGATATTTTCAAAGTCTAATAAAGTAAAAACTCGACGGTAAAAGTATTTTATATTTGACAGGCTCAACCAATATAATTTTTAAAAAAATTAGGCAAACTTTGAAAACAGCCCTTCATTTTGATAAATTTTAGCGATATTTTGAATAAGGCCCGCCAAGTAGGAAAATGGTCAAACAACTACCGTATTTAAAATGGGTGGGGTAGGGTAACATTTTCAGACATATTTATAACAATTTGAGTAGAAACAATAGTTTTGCTTGTGCCATTTGTTAGCTGAAAGCAATTATTCGTTTCTTAACAAGTTTCAATAGGAAAACATTTTTTTTATAATGATTATATTATAGATTATTTAGAAATTCTTATTTCTGAAAAAGAGCCCTTGTGATAGCCAAGTTTAAGCTAAGGAAAATCTCCAGAACTTGTAAACCATACGGTGAACTTCGTTTAAATTGTGCATACAGGTGTCCCGTTAGGTATATAACTGACCTTTGTTGTCAATTTTAAAGTGCCTATTAAGGGGCTCATACCTTAAAAATAACTTACATAAAACAAGAGGGCCATGATGGCCCTGAAATTGCTCACATATATATAGGCTCCCGGGGCGGGGCCAATTTTTACCCAAGGGAATTTATTTGAACAAACTTGGTAGACACCCTTTTGAAGACGTTTCATGATAAATATCTAAGCTCTAGCTCTAAGAAGATTTTTTAAGGTTTTACATATAGGGAAACCCACCTTCCCACCCCCCCTCCTCTGGGCGGGCCAATTTGCCCCCAGGGCTTTTATTTGAATAAACTTGGTAGACACTCACTAGAAGATAGTTCATGCTTAATATCTAAGATCTAGCTCTTTGGGTTTTTTAAAGAAGATTTTTTACGTTTTTACTATATACATATAAGGAAAATCAATGATCCCCGGGACGGGCCAATTTTAACCCAAGGGTCCTAATTTGAACAAAAATGGTTGACACCCATTAGAAGATGTTTCATGCTAAATATCTTAGCTCTAGCTCTAAGGGTTTTTTAAAAGAAGATTTTTTAAGTTTTTACTATATACATAAAGGGAAAAACAATGACCCCCTGGGACAGGGCCAAATTTGCCCCAAGGGCTTTTATTTGAACAAACAAAATAGACATCCACTAGAAGATGTTTCATGCTTAATATCTAAGATCTAGCATATTTGGGTTTTTAAAAAGATTTTTTAAGTTTTTACTATATACATATAAGGAAAATCAATGATCCCGGGGCGGGGCCAATTTTGACCCCAGGGCTTTTACTTGAACAAACTTGGTAGACACCCACTAGAAGATGTTTACTGCTTAATATCTAAGCTCAAGCTATTTTGGCTTTTTAAAAGAAGATTTTTTATTTTTTTACTATATACAAATAAGGAAAATCAATGACCTCCCGGGGCAAGGCCAAATTTGACCCAAGGGCATTTATTTGAACAAACTTGGTAGACACTGACTAGATGATGTTTCATGCCAAATATTTAAGCTCTAGCTCTTTCGGTTTTCTAAAAGAAGATATTTAAGTTTTTCTTTCGGTTGTCATGGCAACCAGAGTTCTGCCTAGAATTAAATTCTTTGAACAATTTTTAAAGATGACTACCAAAGGAACATTCCTGTGAAGTTTGGATGAAATTGGCTAAGCGATTTATGAGGAGATGTTGTTTAAAGTAAAAGTTTACGCCGGGTGATCTAACAGGAGAGTAATAATGTGGCTACTCTATTGTTCTTTTTAGCCACAAAAAAGAAAATAGCCACATAAAAGCAATACGGAATGAACGACATCATAGAGAAAACAAGAGGGCCATGATGGCCCTGAGGTCGCTCACCTGTATATAGGCCCCGGGAGCGGGGCCAGTTAAAACCCCAGGGCTTTTATTTGAACAAACTTGGAAGACACCAATTAGAAGATGTTTCATCATGTTGAGTTTTTACTACACACATATAATGAAAAACAATGACATTCTGCCCCACTCCCCCCCCCCCCGGGAGGGCCAATTTTAACCCAAGGGCTTTTCTTTGAACAAACTTGGTAGACACCCGTAAGAAGATCTTTCATGCTAAACATCTAAGCTCTAGCTCATTGGGTTTTTTAAATGAAATTTTTAAGTTTTTACTATACACATAGTTAAAAACAATGACACCCCTGGGGCGGGGCCAGTTTTGACCCAGGGCTTTTATTTGAAAAAACTTTGTAGACACTTACTAGAAGATGTTTCATGCTTAATATCTAAACTCTAGCTATTTGGGTTTTTTCAAAGAAGATTTTTTAAGTTTTTGCTATACACATAAAAGGAAAATCAACGACCCCTGGGGTGGGGCCAATTTTGACCCCAGGGCTTATATTTGAGCAAACTTTGTAGACACTCACTAGAAGATGTTTCATGCTTAATATTTAAACTCTAGCTATTTGGGTTTTTTCATAGAAGATTTTTAAGTTTTTGCTATACACATATAAGGAAAATCAATGACCCTCGGGGCGTGGCCAATTTTGACACCAGGGCTTTTATTTGAACAAACTTTGTAGACGCTCACTAGAAGATGTTTCATGCTTAATATCTAAACTCTAGCTATTTGGGTTTTTTGAAAGAAGATTTTAAAGTTTTTGCTATACACATATAAGGAAAATCAATGACCCTCGGGGCGGGGCAAATTTTGACCCAAGGGCTTTTATTTGAACAAACTTGGTAGACACCCATAAGAACATGTTTCATGCTAAATATCTTAGCTCTAGCTCTTTGAGTTTTTTAAAAGAAGATTTTTTAAGTTTTTACTATATGCATATAGGGAAAATCAATGACCCCCTGGGGCGGGGCCAATTTTGACCCCAGGGCTTTTATTTGAACAAACTTGGTAGACACTTTCTAGAAGATGTTTCATGCTAAATATCTTAGCTCTAGCTTTTTTGGTTCTTTAAAAGAAGATTTTTTAAGTTTTTACTATATGCATAAAGGGAAAATCAATGACCCCCTGGGGCGGGGCCAATTTTGACCCTAGGGCTTTCATTTGAACAAACTTGGTAGATACTCACTAGAAGATGTTTCATGCCAAATATCTAAGCTCTAGCTCTTTGGGTTCTTTAAAAGAAGATATTTAAAGCTTTTTCTTTCGGTTGCCATGGCAACCAGAGTTCTGCACGGAATTAAATTCTTTGAACAATTTTTAAAGGTGACCACCAAAGGAACATTCCTGTGAAGTTTGGATGAAATTGGCTTAGTGGTTTATGAGGAGATGTCATTTAAAGCAAAAGTTTACGGACGGACGATGGACGGACGGACGCCGGACGAAAAGCGATCACAAAAGCTCACCCGGTCACTTTGTGACAGATGAGCTAAAAAGTTACCTATTGTCCCTCTAGCCACATAATTACTGTCCTTTGAGTGCGGACGGACAGATGGACAAAACGGCGACTATATGCTCACCCTTCGGGGAGCATAATAAGAATAAATAAACCAATGTATGAGCATCTGAATATAATTTTTTATCATTATCACTTTCCCTATTGTCACAAAAAGTAAACCCCAGGAAAAAATGTAGCCTATCATCGAGCATGCTCTATGTTTATCCTCGAGGGAAGCGCGGTAAATGGAGTGCAAGTAACTAATACCTGCACTCCAGTTACCACACTGAGCATGTATGGGTATACAATTAACCTCTGACACATTGTCAATAGAAATGTCTCCAAACTATGATACAATTTATGGGTATACGATTTAACTCCGACACATTTTCAATAGAAAGGTCTCCAAACTAGGATACAACTACATGTTATTATACACTTCATACCCACTTATTGCTACATTAGTACACTTTTCTGTACAAAAGATAACTTAATTAAAAGTTACCATAATAACCATGTATGTTTATAGAATATAATAAACACTTAATCAAGTGATGGCAATCTCCTGGAATAACTGTTGGTGTATAATGCAGGTGATTACCATAACATTTCAGCAACAGGTATGACTGTCAGAGTATCATCTACATTTCCTTATTGCTAATAATAACACTGTCACATTATCTCCCACTGAACCGTAACACTGCCTCATTAGCTAGTTTATTGCATGCAGTCTCATATCTATTATTTCTTGTTTTATTTTCTTCTGTTTCTTTAGAACTAGAGCCATCATTCTGAAGAAAAAAAAATAAGTTAACAATGATTACCATAAAAACATTCTCTAGTACATGTATATAATTATTTCTTAGTGTGACCTTGAACTTTGACATTAAAGGGACTTCACGAGGAGTTTTTGACATGACTGGACAGGTGATAATTTTCCAAGATTAATGTTCCATTTGATGTAGTACTAGACAAAGAAGAAATGTGCAAAATTTCAGACTATTCCCTCACTCCATCTTTCCAGAATAATTATTTTAATTATGAAAAATGATCCAAAACTGAAAAACTTTGCAAACAGTTTTCACTCAAATCAGGCTAAGAATCGCAAATTATATCTATTTATTATATTAATGATTTTTAATTTTTGTCTGGGTATATTTCTAAATTAACTTTGCATATCTTTCAGTTTTAAATGCCTCAGCTGATCTATGTAAGAAATTCATTAATGGCCGACCCGTGGAGTTTGCTTTAAAACCTGGTGACTATAGGTGTCACAAATGTCTAAATGTGCTACACATTTTGGCAAAATTATTTTAAAATCTATCCATGACTAACAAATTAATGACCCAGACAAGTACAGGAAAGTACAAGGGCCTCATTTTAATGTTATATAACATTTGAATCAGCAAATATCTGATATCCAAAATCTCTATATTCAGCAATCAAAATTCAAAGAACAAGACCATAATGTTATAATATTGCTTGTCAAGGGCTATAACTGCTTCAGATAACAGGACCCTCCTTACTGGCAACATACATATAAGGGTATAAAGCTATATCTAAAGAAATATCTAAAGGAATTTTATAAAATAAAACATTTAAATTATGCTGATGGCTGATTCTGAAAAAAGACATAGATTATGTCTGATATTTAACAAATATGAATATTGTATGCAAACAGAATAAAATTTCAGGGGACAAAATATAATTCTATCTTCTTAAAATGGGTTATTTGTACAAGCAACATTCGCTCTTAAGGGTATATACAGGCATATTTCTTCCATACAGGTATTTTTGAAGTATTCTTTTTCAAAATTCAAACATTAATTTTGTAAACAATAGGCATATAACTTTATACACTTTAAATCACTATCAAATAAGTCGCCTCTTACAGTCACACAGGGATAAACAGTGGCTGCAATTCTAATGCCTCAACCCTTTAAGGCATACTTTCAGCCAAAGGGGAAGTCGTAAATAAAAATTAACTTCCTAATACTTACTTGTAATATTTTATTTGTAAAATTAATGCTGTCAGCCGGTTCAAAACATTTCCACAGTCCATCGCAAGCTATTATCACATATCTGTTGAGAATATATTAAATAATAAACATTCCAATTAAATCTATCTAAACGTAATTCAAAATGATAAAATCTGTTTAAATGAATAGAAAGCATAACTCATACAATTTTGTAGTTTTTTTCTCCATTTCTTTTTAAGAGTTTGGCATCAGAAACTGGTGATTGCAAGTACTATACTTGGAATATGTGTCAGTACTAACCAGTTTTTCGTAAAGTTACTGTCAAATTCTCTACATAAATGATTTGAAATAGCAGCATTACTTAGAATTACCGGAGCTGTGTTTGTAAGAACAAGTGTGCAAAATTTAAACCAAAGTAGTTTTGGAGGTACCAACTTGCAAACAAAAACTTAACCAAAGTGTAATGGTGATACTAACACCAGGGTGAGTACAATAGCTCTCAGCCTCTCCCAATTCTCTATATAGTCTAGCTAAAAATTTGAGCCGCGTCATGACAAAACCAACATAATGGGTTTGGGACCAGATGCTGTTCGCTTACAAACCCTATTGCAAGTAGAGAAACTGGTAGCGAACAGCGTGGATCCTGATCAGACTGTGCGGATGCGCAGGCTGGTCTGGATCCATGCTGGTCGCAAACCCATAATGTATGTTTTGTCGTGACGCGGCTCAAATGGTGGTGCTTAATGCGTAACCTAAAGATTGCTGACTGATTGGGTTCAAACCACGTCAAGGGCAAGCTGTTGTTTCCGTGAGCATGAAACTTTACACTCATTGCTTAGTACTGGTTGGTACCAGGAACGAATTCGAGAGTGTTTCAATGTGCTTATGGCTTCCAACACAATCAAACTATAATAAATTTGTATAAACTTAAAAGGTAAACCAATAAAAAACTTGACATTGTTAAAATCTGAGCACATATAGAAAGTGGTAAACCATGATCACAATGTGTTTTATACCTGTCATTATCAGTTATAGTGCATTTCTTCACATCAGGTGTACAGGTTACACCTAGTTTTTTATACTGACCATCCCCTATTGACCTAGATACTTCCAGTACACCCATTACACGACCATCCCTGCAATAACCAGATAACACTTAGTACAATGAATGAAAAGTTAAACAAGATAACACTTTTTATACAAGAAATATATTTCTTAGTACAATCACTAATTATGTTTATTTCTATGACTTACTGAACACACAGTCTTAACCATGTAGCGAAAGTATCTAACTACAAAGATATCATCCATGGTCAAACTTTTGTTAAAGAAAATAATTTCAAACGAATAAAAAATCCAAACTTTAAGCACATAGCATTCTAGATACTTTCCTAAACAAGATAACCACATATGGTGTTGTCTGTTATTAAAGATATAGTATGCTCATGCTCGAGTTAAATATCTTAATCACAGAGTTAAATATCTTAATCACAGAAGTAAATTGAAATCTATGAAATTCTTACTGAATACTGTAAAATCATCATTATTCGTGGGGCATGAATTTTCGTGGTTTTCGTGGGTAGGTCAATCCACAAATTTAAGATCCGACGAAATTTTATCCCAACAAATACTTCTTGCCATGTATCTATTCTATATATCACAAACATGCATCAACACTTTTCCGTCGATTTTTGTGTCATGAACGCCCAGAGGCAAGGATTAAATTTATTGATGAGCGCTGTGTGATACGTAAAGATGTGTACATGCCGTAAGTAAAATGTGCGGCGATTAAGTTTTAGATTACTTTGCATTAGGTTATTTATTTTATTTTTTTACAAGAAATTGAAAATCCACGAAATTTAAGAACCCACAAAAATGCCCGTTTTGATAAAACCACAGAAGTTCATGTCCACGAATATAAGTGAATTCACAGTATATCAAATTCAAATAATAAAACAAATAAACTATGTATTGGAAGCTGCATTCCCTGTTACAGGTCAAGTAAAGTTGTTCCTTTCTTAAAAAATGCCAGTTTTTTTAATGACACTATATGTGTATTCATATTGTGACCACCTATAGTAAACGAAACATATCTACTTTGTGTGAAGTCAAAACGGGTTTATTTTATATTTATAAAGAAGCTGTGAAGCAATTATCAAAATTTTCAAATATCAAACTTGAGCATAGTATATCTTTAAAGGCAATGATTATAATTTTAACAAAAAAAAATCTTGTTTAAAAGGGACAAAACTCTAAAAATATAGCTTAATTATTGCTAGATTAATGCCCCTTGTCTTACAATGATAAACAAGTATTCCAAATTTCATGTTGATACTCACCAAAATATTTGAATAATGGGCTACATTATTGTTTTTGAATGTCAACAAAGATGAAGCAGCAATCAAAACAGCTCCATTTTTTCTTCAGTACAGACAAGCTACAAATCGATGAGAAAATTTGAATAAAAAAAGACAATGCCTTACTTGACATGACCCCCTTGTTTTTGTATTCTCATTCTCTCGTCGTACAGTGAGGGATTGTGGGGAACACTGAGAGGTACAGGAACACATGTCTTAGTGTCTTCTTTGTAACGACATAACACTGCCTGAAATTACATCACAATATTATCTACTGTTTACGAAAGACTCTTCATAATTGATAAATCATTTGTATATCAGTGATATTTATACTAATAATATGAAAGTAGGCAAAGCCTATGAACGAAGAAGTCGGATTAAAAAAAAATTGTTCATTTTTATTTTACAATTTTCGTTTGGTGCCATTCGGTATTTCGAGCAACGCTCTCATTTTCAACCTGAACACTGACAATTACTCTTAAACCTAAAAGTTGTGATTGTTCTGTTATCGGAATACCCCGGCAATTATCATCAAGTTACATTGAAAATGGCGGTACCCGACTAGAACTGACACTGAAAATTTCATTAATAGTTACAAATTCTATATATATATTTTTTTTTATTTGTTTTATGTCCTTTTAAATATACATGTGTAGTCAAAAGCCGGGCAAGCAATTACTTTGACTTCCCAGTATTACTAATTAGGTATTTTTATCTTTATTATCTAAATCAATCATAAGTCATATCATAAAATGATCACTTACAGAAAAAATTTCAAATGACAAAGTAAGTGCAAAAACTACAAAATTAAATAAAACAGTAAAATAATCAGTCATTAAATGCTGATTGATATAATGAACATCTAAAAACTTTTGAATGTTTCTTTCACAATGATTTACCCTATAGATGTATTTTGTGTCTGAATTTATGCCTTTTAAATGTCATATAATATACATTGTAAGTTATAAAACTATGAGTAAATGGCTTGAACTGCAAAGTTAATAGAGGTGTTTTATACCTGACTAAAACAGGAGCTTTCAATAAAGATAAGTAAAACTGTTAAAAATCACATTTTTTGGAATATGCTACAATTATGAAAATTCATATGTAAGATTATAGTAAGAATTAGGAAGAAGAATACCTATAAAAGTTAAGAATGATCCACAAAGTGAAAAACCACCACTGTAAGCTTGTTAGATAGCATTCTCTAAAGAAAGAAGACAAAGTCCCACACAGAAATTTGAACCCACATTGGTGAGGGGCAAGTGGTTTAAAATGAACAACCTTAACCATTCAGCAATGGATTCCCCTAAAATTCACTGACTTCATACCAGAGATCCATAATAAGTACAAATACAAAAATATCAAGTCAGTAAATGAACAGTTTTTTAGGAAACAGCAATTGTGATTGAAGGAAAGAAATAAAGATATGAGCCGCGTCACGACAAAACCAACATAATGGGTTTGTGACCAACATGGATCCAGACCAGCCTGTGCATCCGGGCAGTCTGATCAGGATCCATGCTGTTCGCTTACAAACCCTATAGCAAGTAGAGAATCTGATAGCGAACAGTATGGATCCTGATGAGATTGCGCGGATGCGCAGGCTGGTCTGCATCCATGCTGGTCGCAAATGCACTATGTTGGTTTTGTCATGACACAGCTCATATATGCTTCACAGAAAAAATTACCAGGAATATGATAAATAAATGTTATTGAAAGTTTTGACTGCTGTCAGCAACAGGTATTACCCACATGACCAGTGCAGACTAAAATTAAATTTTCCCGTATATTAATGTATGGTGTTGTTGAGATTAAAAGATGGACAAATCTATAAAAGATATTTGTGTTGATGATGGTTAATGGTACCTGGCTGTCACCAATATTGGCAATATACATGGTTTCATTAATGAGAAGAACCAATATAGCTGTGGTACCATCCTTCCATACTGGCTTTCTGTAATCGAAAATATTATTTAAGACTAAAATTTCATACAATATAGATCGTTATATATACAGGTTCATTTGTAAATGTCTTATGATAAAACTTTTTTTTTCACACTAATATTTCATTATTATCCTCAGCTATTGGATATATAGGGGTCCATAAAATATGATAAATCATCAACGATAAGTTTGTTAGTCATGACATTATGTTTATTACAATGATGTCAATTTAGCATACACTAAATTATACATGTAATAATGTTTGTTTTTTAATTTTGCCTTTTAAAAGTCTGTGGTAACATTATAGTGTGGACAGGTAGAATTTTGTACATCAGTACCCAATGTTTATAAATGCTTCTGAAACTTAACAAGAGGTCAAAGTGTATAAAGCTATATATCTGATGCCTGATGATAATAAAATAAGTGTTTGATTTTTAAAATAGTAAAATCCCAAAATACCTGTATGAAAAAAAATAATTTTATACTTCCTTTAGAGCAAATGTTCATTGCACTAAATGATTAAAATCTTACTTTAAATAATAGAATAATATTTTTTGTTCTGGAACATCCTGTTCTGTTAATGTACAATATTCATGTGTGTTGAAAAAACAGAGACATTCTATGCTTCGATTCTTTCAAGAATCTATCACAGGATTATGGAAACAACATCATTTTACCATTTAAAATTGATTAAAAAAATAATATTACATTTGGTATAGCTTTATACCTTTAAACTTTCTCCTTTCATTCTGTCTCTATGGAAAAATTGGCAAGCAAGGAACGAATAATGAAAACAAATTTATTTTCACTGCACATTGACAAGTAGTGAAAAGTCATTTTTGATGCAAATGATACATGGATACTCCTCGGATTTTTTCATTTTACACAAAGAAGAATAAAATAACGGTGTTAAACTGCCAATAAACAACGATTAGGGACTTCATGATTGTGCATGTATATGCAGCTAATTTCAAAACTCCAAACCGGTGTTAAATAGCCAAAAAACACCGCTGGAAGTGATAATATTTCCTAACTTGCACGGCAAGCATTGAGTATTCAGTTCACTTACGATTTTGTTGCTTGTTTCAGGAAATCCTCATCTGTCTTTTTGAACGCATCAATAAAAGCTTTCCTTATCTCCTTCTCCACTACTGTTATATCACCTGTCAAATGTAATGATCATTTATTATAGTCAACAAAAATGAATTCCAAAATAAATAAATCGATTCCACTTCAATAACTGTTTGCTTCAAGGGCTAATTCATTTTATTTGTTAACTGTATCCTTACTGAAACTGTTAGTCTTTACCACCTGTATAAAAACTGAACTTAGATAACTAACATTTAAATTATCCCTAAAATTGATAATGGACATATTAAACAACCGTATACAAAATGTACATTTAAGCCGTGTCACGACAAAACCAACATTATGGCTTTGCGACCAGCATGGATCCAGACCAGCCAGCGCATCCGCGCAGTCTGATCAGGATCCATGCTGTTCGTTTACCAACCCTAACTGATAGCGAACAACATGGATCCTGATCAGACTGTGCGGATGCGCAGGCTGGTCTGGATCCATGCTGGTCGCAAACGCATTACGTTGGTTTTGTCGTGACGCGGCTCATTTAAGTTCAAATTTACTGTAGAACAATGCCATAATTCGTTACATTAGTGCAATAACTCTAATTAACTCTGATTAAATTTAGAGGGACTTATTATTTCATTAGGTGACGCATTGTGTATGTTTAAAGTACAAAAGATATTATGAAAATATCTCATTGTTGAAGGATTACCCTTAGGAAATTTATCTCGGAGATTTTTATGCAAATTCTCTGATGCAAACCTCGAAGCTCTGACTCCTCCATGTCCGTCAAACACTCCATACAGGGACACTCTGTAACTGTAAATCATAGAAGAAAAAACAACTAGTAATTTGACAGAAAATTGGTATGCAGTAATGTGACAATTTTAACCTTTAAATATGGTTGTGTAAATAGGTATTATACTTCTATTAGTAACAATATGGATTAAAAAGAAAATAAAGAAATATATCAATCTGGCAGTGACGTTTGGCAAAGTGAAGTTTTTCTTCTTTTTTGGGGGATTTTTTTTTTTAAATACTAAAATTATTTTCTTATTCACTTTAAAAAAAAATTGTTTTAAAGAAAGGTTCTATAGGTATTAAGTATATATAATTTAAGATCACCTTATTTCAGAGATAGATTTAGCTGTGAACTTACATGATGTATATTTGGTACAAATCATAATAATAACCCTGTAATTACACTGGCTGTAAATTTGGCATAAAAACTGTAATACCCTGTACTTTAAATGAGGAGGTGGGATGGATCTGGCATATATTGTGTAAAATCCTTTGGAAAACATCATTATTATAATACCCCTGCTCTTATATTAGACTGTAGATCTGGTATATAAAACATTATGTAAAAATTTGTTTTTTATAGTATATAAATTTGGTTTATAACAAGCCAAAACTTACATAGAAGAATGTAGATTAGGTATTTCTGATGTAAAATCTTGCATGATAAGATGGGCGTCTTGCATATCCTCTCTCTCTCCTTGCCTCTCCACAATATAGCTGTCTATTTCATACACTATTCCTACATAAACAAGACACAAGATGGTGGTAACATGGTTCAGATTAAGTAAACAATATTCTGAACAATAAATCAAAATAAGTTGTAGTAACTTTCAAAGGCTTTGTATTTTGCTATGAGCAGCATTATGGAAAATTAATAATATTTTTGCACTGCAAGTAGCTAAAAATACATGGCCTCATAGAGCTACCACATCAGAATTATCCTATTATTATATACCTATTTGTTTTAAGACAAAAAGAGTTTCAATATACTTTACCTCTATTAGTTATTTTAGTGGCAAGGGTAAACAAATGCAAACACACACATTATTTTAGTGACAGATAAATACAAATTTTTTTGCAAAGAGGCCACACCTTCAATAGATTTCGTTCTCATTTCCAAATCAGCTAAGATGTGAACCAACATGAAAAATAGTCTGGCATTTCATACTTCATGTTTCTGTTTCCCCTGTTCTTACTTTTGTCAGTAACTACAAGTTGACTATTATGAGTTTTCAATGAATAGTTGCAAAAATAATATACTTTATGGCTATGTGCAAAAATAATATACTTTATGGCTATGTGCATAGGGCTCCACTTCAGACCCAAAACTGTGCGAGAAAAAAAACAACATTGTAGGGTACGAGACAAAATATGCTATTTTGATAGCTCCTCTCAGTGCCAGTGAATTTCTTTATTAAACAAACAGTGCATAAATGCATAAATGTAACTAAGGGACAACCTTGTCTTTGACAAAAATAATATCTACATTTTACAGTGCTAGCCTACCTAGCTTTTGTTTCTTATGTAAATCTTTATTGGTATTTTCTTCTTCCAGTTTAATGTTTCCCCTTTCCTGCTGCACATAAATTTTG